AGCTTTGCGCTATCGAATCGTAGTACCTGCGTTTGCCAACAATTATTCTTCCAAAAATGGCAACAAAAAGTATGCAGATGTCACCCGCGTGTCAGTGGCCGTTTCGTTTTCAAATCACATTTGTAGGTTATAAAAACGTATTTGTCACCGGATTCAATGCTATAATGCTTCCACAAAGCTTCTAGATAAATATTCAGTTTTCTCTCACTGATGAAATTTAACTCCAACTCGATTTGGAGTCAGTTTCTGCTTTTCTTTCGCTCATTCGCACCCCTAAAATGTGCAGTTTTTGAGCATGTAGCAAACACATGATTTTCTTTAAACGCCGATAATTTTCTTGCCAGACTCCTTGATTTTGCGCTTACAGTATGTTGCAGCCGGAAACTTGCTCTATCATGAGGTGTGTTCCCTGCATCACAGGAGCATTTTTTATGAAGAAGCAGAAGATTCTCTGAAAAAATACCTGCGTGTTGCGCGCAACTTAATCAGTAAGATATTTTGTGATTTTTCTCAAGCCATACTTAAAAATCACGCACAAATAATTCTGGCGCACCCTGTAAAACAAATGCACATTTAATTTGTTGCTTCAAAAGCTCATAACTCTTTATGCACAAACTTTTCGCAGATAAGAAAAGCAGATTTGGAAGTACCGTTTTATGATTTTCACTATGTGTTAGGTTGTCCCGAAAGTTCTGTCGGTTTTTTTCAAACCACTGTAAAACCACGCACAATAAATACCTGAGTGAGTTTTAACATGCATTCGATGCAGCTTTTCCTTCTCTTTCTTATGGATACATCTCCATACCATTGGTATGCTTTTTTTGATAATTGCCAAAGTTCTCCACCTGTCAATTTTACCTGCTCAAAGTTAGGCTAATTTTCAAAAATTTCATTACATAGATTCAAAAAGATTAAGTGTGGATCAAATAGAGCAACTCTTGGACTACAAGATGGTTATTTTAGATTCTTCTAATTTGCTGACTTTAGCTTTAAGAATTATTTCTCCGGAGGTCTCGATTTTTGGCAAATTCATGAAAAAGGCAACTGCACAAAACACATGAAAGCTTTTGATTTTTCTGCATATTAAAACATAGTTTTTACTAAACATCCTTTTTGCAACATAACCAACTTTAATTCGCTTCGAAAAAGCAGCTTTTTGGAATTTTTGCTACTTTCACGTTTTGAACTCAATCAAAAAGCCGCGGTTTTTATCAAATAAACAATTATAAAGGACTTAATAAACGCGGTTCGTGTAATCTAAAATAAATACAGTGTAGCCAAAGGTTTGCTCTACATAACAATTACCAGCGCTCTTTGAAAACATCAAAATAAAAAAATTCTAAAATTCAGGAAAAATTTGGCGTTACTGCTGAGCTGCTCAAAAAGCCATGGCGATAACATTGCAAAGACAGGGTAAATCAGAGAGCGAGTATAACTGTAAGAAAGAGGATAAAAATCTGAATTAAGTGGTCTTTGAGCCGTGTATGGGTTGGTGTTCTGTGAGTTTTAGTGAGCAGTGAAAGAAACCGACAAAACTTTCGGGACAATCTAATATTACATTCTATCTGGAAAGGCTGTTGCGACTAAACATGGTTCCTTTGTCGGCAAAAAAAAGTGTGACGTACGAGGAACGTCGCAGTGTTTTAGAGAAGCATTTGTGAAATTCTTAATTTCGAGCTGTGTTTTGTGAAGAAACTTTAGTGATAACGGTCTTTCTGTAGGTCACAATTCCCACAAACTTTCTGTTCTTGCATTTTTGAATGAGATTCACGCCTGCACGATAATGGACGGGCTGTCACTAATAGCGGAAACTTTCCACAGAGACCAGTTTGCGGCACAAAGATTACTCAAAATTCGAGTTGTCTTTCAAAACTTGGATGGCAAAAAAAACAGAAGGTGTACTTACGCAGACACTTTTGCGCGTACTTAATCATTGCCCCATTACTTAGAGATCAAAAAATGTAAGTCGTCTGGATCATTAGCAGCCACATCTAGAAAGTCATCGCAACATTTTATCTTTTACTCTCAAGGGCCGGCATACCCGTCGCGAGGCAATCGTCGCGATTTGTGATCGTCGCGATTCGCTAAGAACTAGCGACAAAAACGCGCTACGGGTCGCTAATCGCTCGGATATAGGGCATACTTTCGGTGCGATTTGTGCATTCTCAAAATACATCACATGATTCATTTTCGGACAAGTTCACTGTTTAAGTCGAGCTACAGGTTTAAACTTTTGGTTTTTTCTTTTTTTTCGACATTCTTTGACAAATCCATTCTTGGATCATGAACGTTGTAAAGAAAGGAAAATTCTGCAAAGAAAAAGAACGAGGAGTGAAACGAAGACTAAACCGGTATCTCTGCCACTAATTGCTTCAATTATCTTTGCCACTAGAATTGTAGACAAAATGAAAAGCAAAATGCTTGCGATGGTTCAAAAGTTCAAAAATCCATTCAAAAATTTTCGGACTCAATTAAGGATTGAATTGAGTACAAAACATCATGATTTACAGAAAACAGGTGCTTGGGAAATACGGACTAGTTTTAGATTCAGTGGGCAAGATAGCAGTGCGAGCAATGATAAAAACATTTGAAAACACTCTTCGGAAAGGAATCCCAATCTAAGCGGTGCGTCGCGTCGCTCATTTGCAATAAGCGAAGCGAATTCGCTAAGCTAAACGACGATCGCGGCGATTTCGCGCGGATCGGTATGGCTTAGCAAAAAACGGTCAGCGAAGTGTCGCGCCGAACAGCTAGCACATATTGACGGGGATGCTATGCACGTGTAACACTTGTCCTTCTGACAGAGCTCGCGAGGCGATAAATCGCTGCCCGGTATACCCGGCCCACAGAAAATATACAGTTCATCTAAAGGGCCGGGCATACTTCACGTGATTTCAGTCGCAACGTGATTTGGCAATTTGCCAGAAGTCTTTAGATCCAATACTAGCAAACTGCACCTGCATGGTGTGTATAACTTACGTGGGTTGATAAAATGCTCATCCTCTGTACATTTAAAATGTGCTGAAATCGCGTGCCCGTTGCCCGGCCCTTAAGTTTCATTATTTGAAGATTCAATGAAAGGGAGCAGCTTTTATGGAGATTTACTGTTGCCCTAGAAAAACTTGTGACTTCTGCGAGTGAACAGACTTGAAAAATGTTATCGCTTCGTCCTTCGCTTTACGAATTTATACTTTGAAGAAAATACTTTATTGAAATGTTCATACCGCAACCGATATCATTATTTTTCTATCCTTCTTGCCATATTTTACAATTCCTTTCAAATAGGCTGTTTCTATCAATTTTTTGTTTGAAAAGTTCTATGTAGATTGTAAAAGGGAGAAAAAACCTTAGCGATCATACAAAATTTGTTGGTTAACATTTTGGGAGTGGCTAACGCTACGCCGTTCTTTAAAAGAAATTCTTTAATTCCCTTACCCTCCTCCTCCTAAAAAAATTTCCCAGACCGTCATTGCTATAGATAAAATTGTAAAACTGCTGCATCTAAAATATATGGATCATCATCAACGCTATTGCTGTCTTTACAATTCTTACACAATCTCGCAGACATCTACAGAATGGCATGCAAGCTGTAGCCCGACTGCGAGTGCAATATATGCTTCAGACGAAAAAACAGTTTTGGAAAAGTATACAGACCACCTTTGACTCATTATCGTCCTAACTGCGCCAGAACATGGCCTAACGAAACTGCCAATGCAGCGGACTATACCGGTGATTTCCTGCTTTGGTAGGGACGAATCTGAATCGAGGAGCGAGTTTGTTTACAACTCTAAAGCTATGTTCTCGCTTCAGAAGCAGTATTTTGCACTCGCAGTTAGGATATAACTCATGGAGAGCCCGCTTCGGTAATGTGTTAAAATTAGCTATTTCCAAACCTGCCCGGACACTGTATTTGAGCATAGATTTTACAGAAAATGTGGAGTAGAAGATCGTCAGAGCTTGGTGATTTCAAGCAAGTCTACCATATTTATTTATTTATTTATTTTTATAAACTTGCAATAAATTGAAACAGAAAAGTATAAGATCCACGTAGTCTGTGTTGATCAGCGTCTTTACAATAAGTTGTGATCTCTTGAAAACAGTATGAATCGAGAATTTAGGTGTTGTTTATCTCTCGACGCTTGATTAGCAAAAAAAATCGCTTAAGCTATGACAAGGCTTCTAGGTCATTGGTGAAGTTGCCGGAAACATCAAAATTCAGCTTCACTTAGTTTGCTTTCACCTCTGCTTGTGCAAATTACAAATTCTACAGCTTGTTAAATATGATACGCATATTTTTCTCTATTCAACAAAACTAAACAGCAGAAAATATATGAAAATTCCATGATTGCTCGGACAGAGCTGCAGTGACCAAATATGTCGTGCCATTAGATAGGTTTTCGAACATTTAATCAAAAACGTCAAAGTAAAATTCGTTTAGAAATAGATCATGCTTTTGATACAAAAGCGTGTGATGACTTATCAATATTTTTCAATATTCAATTACTATGCTAAATCTCGAATACATTCAGCCACGCAGTCAAATTACTGTTGACTTCAAATACCTCGTTTATACATACAAACTTCTTGATAAGTTTAAGATATTTTCTACGAAACATTTAGTAGGTAGTAGTGAGCATACCTCTTTCAGATTGTGTTGATATTTTTCAAGCAGTAGTACAACGTACTGAGGAATGTAAATTCTTCTGCAAAACACATTTTTGTAAAGAAGGCGTACATTTGTTATTAAAGCATTACCTCAGAACAGAATCCCAGAGTACCGCTGTAGCGAGGAATGTTTTTAAGCCACTGCCTTTCAACAAACCTAATGTTATCAAACCTCGGGCCCCGTCTCTGAGAACGGGGCAAAATCTCTGAAAATAACTTTTACAAAACCTCGAATTTGGATGCTTCGCGTTTCGACTTTTCAAGACCTCACATGGTTCAGTCACTTACCGCTTCTTTATGCAGTCTGTTCGTAAGAAATCTATGTGCAAGTCTGTTCAATTCTTGATCATCCATTTTCTTAGCCTGCTCGTTGCTTGAAGGCTCAGCGGTTGTATACAGTATGATCTGAAAAAGAACATATAGTGTCAAAAAAAGAAAGAAATGCCCACAGTCAAACCCATGCAGAGTGCTTTCATGTCTGGAAAATCCACTACAGACTGGACAGATAAGTAGGATTTAATGGGGCGGCCTGGCTTTTCAGTTGAAGTACTCGTCAGTGCACTTTCATACTTCCAAGCAAGCTTTTCACAAGCTTTTATTGCATGTTCATTCTTTTCGGTCGCACACTATCAGAAAAAATAAGTTAATTTCTTTTGAGCTGGAATTGTAAGTTCTGGATGTACTTGATAGTTTCTATCTATTAAGTTGTTGCAAAAATAATGTCCGTTTTGCATTCTACTTTGGAAAGCTGTAACTTTATCCAGTCTTCATATTATTAGGTTGGTGCTAGAGTAATGCGCGTTTCGCGAGTTTGCTTTAACGTGCTATAACTATCTAAAAAATCTACAGTCTTCAGTGGGGTAAACGCCATCGGAGGCACCAAGTATTTCTCAATACAGCGCACACCAACTATACTCATATCCCTAATGAGCACAAAATTATGGACTGACAAGCAAAAAAAGTTTTTCTCTTAAACCCTGTTTTTAACCGATCATAACTCCCTTTAAAATCTGTAAGTGTGAATGATAAGTAGTATGTCATGTAGCCGCTATTCAGTAGTACAAAAAGGTCGAAAAAGGCTCGAACAAAGAAGATTTGAGAAAGGAAAAGAAAATAATGTTCAAAATTTTTCCGCTTTTTTCGACATTTTTTCGTAGGCCTCAAAATCCAAAATATGGAGATTTTTGGATTTCTGTCTACTGAACAGCTTCCACATTTCTGCAAAAACTGTTAACAGGAGGCCACACTTACGCTTACAGAAATAAGCAAAACGTAAGCGATTGTCTCTTCAAAAGAAATCTATGGACCGCGGAATGGCCAAACCCACTACTCATTTTGCGCGCCGAAATCTCAGCCTAGGTTATTTCTAAGAAAATAGCAAAGTGGGCATAAAGTAGACAATTTCTGTTACATATAATAGTTAATTTATTCGCCCTTGAATTTTAGCCAAAAAAGTGCAATAAAATTCTGGTTTCGAGCGCGGTTGTATGAAGCTCTATCAAATTCTAACGAATGAGGCTAAAAGCTCCCCTCTACCGTCATTGGAAAGAGCATGAAAGGAGCTTTTTGAAAGTATAGAAGTTTTTCTCTGATGGAAAAACGTTGTCCTGAAACAAGGGCTAGAAAAATGCGCATTACTTTTGCACCAACCTAATATTTCATGCTATCAAGACCATCTGAAACAGTAAACCTTCCCGCGCATCTGCTAATACTGATATCGCAAACGAAAAGAATACTATGCCTTGAAAATCCCAAAGTTTTTCTTTCGAAAACCTCGTCTTGAAAGATTGCAACCCCCTTCAAGTTTTGCTCCTATGGCTGCTAATTAGTTGTAGAGGCTAGCCAGTAGTACACGAATGTATAGAAACGGCTTTAAGGAGGGAGTTCTGCAAAAGAAAAAATGAAAAATTCAAAATTGTTCACTTTTCTGAGCCTATTTGTGGTAAGTGAGAAAGTCCCAAACTACGAAAGAATTTTTCATGCGCTAAATAGCTAAGTTTTTCTGCAAAAATTGTAGGGAAGATGTACTAACCTCAAGCATACAAAAATAAGCGGAGCTGCAGCATTTGCCTAATTGCAAACAATTTTTGAAGCATAGAATGCCGGGCAGCAAGTATCTACCCTGGGGCATCGATTTCTTAGTCCAGATATATACGAAAAATTCATTTGAATCAGCAATATATTAGGTTGAACCGAAAGTTCTGTCGCACCACTTTCAAAAAATCATAACTTCTTTCCCTCAAAACGATTTTGCGCAACTCAAATTTCATCAGAAAGCGTAAAATGTAGTTTTCAAAGCTTTCCTGGGAATTTTCTTACATCAGGTTGCAGAGATAAAAATGAAAGAACAAGAACATCCGAAATTCGGAATTTCCAAGCAAAAATTCTGAAAATCTGGAAACTGTGCGATAACATTCAGAACAGCCATCATCCTACTGACTGAGTTAAGTTTGTGCTGATCAGCTCTTCTTTCAAAAGTTTTTTTTTTGAAAAAAATGCCGAAAAATCAATTTCTTAAGAATTCTTAGAAAAGTGATTTTTTGGCATTTTTTTCCAAAAAGTCATAACCTCTAAAAAAAACCTCGATCAGCACAAACTTGACTCAGTTGGTAATCAAATATTAGGTCGGTGCAAAAGTTTTGTCAGTTTTTACAATCCGTCGGCAAACACGTTAGAATAAAGATAAATCAATAAATCAAAATGTATCCGATGCAGAATTTCTCCCTCTTTCCAGCTGCTAAACTTCCAATGTGTTTCGTTGCAAGAGTGACGAGATATATGCTGCAAATTACAACCACTCGTTTTTACCATATCCAAATTTCGCTAATTTTCAAAATTTTTGCATGAAACTTTCGAAAAAGCCCTGATAGTCAGCAGATAGGGCTAACATTTTGCCAACTTATGCAATTTTTTCTTTTTATCAGCTGCTTTTGCAGAGTTTCGCTAAGTAATTTCCTAAAAGTCTTGTGTTTTGGAAAAATCGCATAACCTGTTGTTGCACCAATTACTGCAAAACCTACAGAAAACTGAGGTTCAACAAACGATTATTACTACCGCTACCATTACAAATTGAATGAGCGATTTTCGCTTCAAATTATGAAGATTTTGAAACATAGGTTACGTCAGTGCGCGCTCCTAAAATTGAGAAATACTGCGATTTTTTCCACAGATTTTGCTGGTCTCGGAAAAAAAGACAAGTGTTAGAAAGAGGAGAAAATTCTGAATCGAGTGGTGACTGCAATGTTCAAAATTTTATTTTCTACGAGATCAAAATAGGCTGAATGTATAATTTGGTCACTTCAAAAAATAAATCGTAGAAATTTTGAAAGACAAGCTGTAGAGCTACAAAAAATTGCATCTGTTGGCAAAAGGTTTGCGCTCTCTGCCGGTTAATAGAGCTCCTTCGAAAGTCTCATACAAAAATATTGAAAATTAGCGAATGTTGGACATGGTAAAAACGAGTTGTTGTAATTTGCAGCAAATATCTCGTCACTCTCGCAACGAAACACAATGGGAGTTTGGCAGCTGGAAAGAGGAAGAAATTCTGCTTCGGATACTTTTTGAAGTCTTTGTTTATCTTCGTTCTAGCGTGATTGCCGATGGATTGAAAAAACTGACAAAACTTTTGCACCGACCTAATATTAGGTTGGTGCAAAAATAATGAGCGTTTTTATTTGCTTGCTTCAACAAAGCAACCAGACTCAACCCAACAAAGAATAAGGGGTACTGTTCGATAGAGCAAAGCAAGCTCTACAAGATGGCACTCATGCCTTTGCGCCATGCTCGATCCACGGAGAGATCGAACTCAAAATCTAAAGATTTCCAAATGCCCAAAAAGTCGAAAAAAATCAGATCTTCGTCCAAATAATTTCTACGAACCTCCCACTCGCTCATATCAATACTATCGATATCTGATATCCATATGTGCAATTGCCGTATTTTTTCCTTGACTAGAAAACGAGAAAACAAAAATTCCCCTGATTTTCTCAAAGCAATGCTGAGCCGTTTTTGCATATGTAGTTCTATACTACAAGCCTAGGTAAGCATAACTGTAAGTTTTCAGCCTATTTCGAGCGGTACTTTTCAAGAAATATCGATTTTAGCACTGAAACTGAAACGAAAAAATCCGAATTCGTTATTTTTCGAAAACTACCGCTTGGAATGAGCTGAAAACTTACAGTTATGCTTACCTAGGCTTGTAGTATAGAACTACATATGCAAAAACGGCTCAGCATTGCTTTGAGAAAATCAGGGGAATTTTCGTTTTCTCGTTTTCTAGTCAAGGAAAAAATACGGCAATTGCACATATGGATATCAGATATCGATAGTATTGATATGAGCGAGTGGGAGGTTCGTAGAAATTATTTGGACGAAGATCTGATTTTTTTCGACTTTTTGGGCATTTGGAAATCTTTAGATTTTGAGTTCGAACTCTCCGTGGATCGAGCATGGCGCAAAGGCATGAGTGCCATCTAGTAGAGCTTGCTTTGCTCTATCGAACAGTACCCCTTACTCTTTGTTGGGTTGAGTATGGTTGCTTTGTTAAAGCAAGCAAATAAAAACGCTCATTATTTTTGCACCAACCTAATATAAGAAGAATTAGAATAATGACTTTTACGGATTTTATCGCACAGTTTCTGAATTTTCAGATTTCTTGCTCAAAAATTCCGAATTTTAGATGATCTCGTTATTTCATTTTTATCTCTGCAACCTGAGCATATTGGAAGGCATCCGACTTTTGAAAACTATACGCTTTTCGCTTTCTGATAAAATTTTATTTGCGCAAAATCATTGTGAGGGAAAGAGGTTATGATTTTTTGAAAATGGTGCGACAGAACTTTCGGTTCAAAGTAATATAAACAATACTCATCCCATACAGTAACTAAGTCTTTTCAAAAATTCGTTCATTTGCGCCTGAATCGTGGCTGGTCATAAAACTTCAAGCAATGAGATTCCGATTTTGACTGCGGATGTACAAAATGTTGGCAAAATCCTCACAAAAGAGATAAAAGCTTGGTCCATAACTAGAAACTACATGAAGAGAGCTTTCCAATCTTATGCAGAACCTATATCGAAAAACAAAGTTTAACGAAAGAAAGTTGTTTCGAAAATAGGCCCAGATAAATGCACATTATTTTTGCAACAACCCAAATTTCGTCTACAACTAACACCTTTTAATAATGGCTCATGGTACGCCTATCAGCGCATCGAGAATTTGAGAGCCTGTTGCTCAAATTAAGTCCTGTGCGAAGAAGCCTGCCATACTGCCTTGTAAGAATGTCCGCATCCTTTTTGCTACTTGCATACCTGCACTTTCGCTGTTCGCTTTCCGTCTCACACAGTTTTCAATATGTTCACTCAGTTTTTTGATGTGCAGTTTTCATATTGTCTCATAAACGCGGTTCTTTGTTTTCAATAGTACAGAAGCGAGTGCATAGCTTTCCGTTACAGAAAGAAATGTTGTATTGTAAGCCTTGAATTCCGTGCTCGATATAGTCTTCATTTTGCATCGTCGATTAGTGACAATCTTATCATAAAATATACTTCCTTTAATGTTTTTAAGAGAAAAAATTTTGCCCTTCTGAATGTCATTTTTTATCCTAAGCATGTCTCATCTATAGCGCTACACAAATTATTGAAACTGAACGCTTTTTGCCTTTTAAGCAAAGCTTGGACATGATCGTGTTTCGTCTTCATCACCAATTCTGCTAGGCTTCAGCCTTCACTCAACTTCTCCAAAAAAATATTCTTGAAATCAATAGATTGAAACACCAAATACCATCATAGTACTCACACATCAATATGACCAATTCCAGCGAAGGTATCAGAATGCCCTAATGAGCGCATAAGCTGCTTGTGCTGCAAGTTTCCATGTAATGTGTTTCAGATAATGACAAATAAGAGGTATAACAATGTAGAGAGCACTTCAGTGAAAACGCGCAAACACTTACTGATGTCTGGTGTCTAAGTAGACCTCCCTTCAGCCATTTCAAATACACAGAGCTTCGCTGTAATAAAGCGACTTTGGACAAAGTATTAATTTAACTGTACAAACGGTGCTTGCGAAAGAGCACATGCAGCTTGGAACAGAGAGTGTGCAGAAATGTCATTGCCGATTAATGTTGCAAAAGCTATAGCAAAGCGTAAGAGGAAGCTGCCAATTTGAGTACCTTCAAAAGCCATAGACCAAAACGGCAAAACAGCGTTCCCAGTGTAAAGGTCTTGAGATCAAGTAGGATGCTTACCAAAGGGAGCCCTCGCAGCTTCCCATGTTTTTCCCGAAACCCCAACCCCGACTGTGGAGGTGTCGATTACAGACGGCAGTGTGTAGACACACGCGGTACAAGTTGCATGATAAAGAAGCCTACCAAGTATTTTATCATTTTCGTAATTACGACTGTCAATTACGCCAATGGAATCTTGAACTTGCCAAATATTCGGTCACTTAAGTGAAATGGTAATTTTTGTTTTGGACGTGAATTTGCTACCTTTTCTGCACTCAGTACGAAACATTACTTCTGCTTTGCACATTAAAAATCGCTTTAACTGATTGCTAAACTTTGGAACAGGTGCCAGCTAGCAGCTGGCGGTGGCGCGGCTATTGCACTTGCTGTTTTGATGAAAAAGGCAAGCAATTCAAACAGTGCAGTGCATTAGTGGCAGGCTCATTGTAGCTTCTCGTTATTATGACGTGAGCGGAGCTGTCAGTGCAGGCTTCTGATTAGGTTTATAGCTTTTACATTCTCTTGTAGGTGTGCGCTTGTGCCATAATTTGCATTGAAATCCGGTTAAATGAAAAGAAATTAACTCTACAGGGTGCAAAGAAAGTGCTTTCCTTGAATAAAAATCTCAATAAATCGGCATGCATCATAGCTTTTAATTAAAACGATGTGAATCCCAAAATGAGAACATTCTAGCATTCTACAAAGACTGCCCCAAAATTTTGCAGCTTCGCGTTTTCGATGAGAACTTGGAAATAGTCTATTGCTTGAGGACGGTAGAAGTAACTTCCACATTCCGAACGTAACCGATCCGCAATTGCACGGAAAAAATATTTGTGAATTTTTTCGCGAAAAAGTTGCTGCACGCTTTAGAAAGAGGCCAGTAAACGTGGCATGAAAACTAGCTACTTCAGAACTTCATTTGTTAACTCATATCTTGTAGTATGCAAAACTAATTGCTTCTTCAGTATTCTATACTTATCATAAATTAGTAACGTCTTGTATTGGCTAAACAAAAGAAGTTATAGCCCGGAAGGATCGCAGAAATTCTCGAAGAAAGTCTAGTCCGATTTTTTCTTACTCAATGAAATGGATTCAAATCACACTTTAAGATTCCACATACCAGCAAAAAGTAACAAAAAGAATGAAAAGAAGTCGAGCTTTGTATACGTCATAATTTCGACTTATATTGTACCCAGTATTTGTGTCACGTTTTGTGATCGCAGCCTGTTGCGTGCATCCTTTTTTTGTAAAAAATTCACGAACCTTTTTCCCATGCTACTGCGGATTGGTCATTTTCGGAATATTTTGAATCCCTCCTACCTTCCTTGAGCAGTAAATGATTTAACACTTCTCATTGAAAACTTAAGAACTTTGAAAATCTCTCTTGAATGTAAAAGAGAGTAAAAATTGATATGAGTTGCTGCGTAAGTAGGGATCCGCGGCTGGATGAAGCTGCAAAATTTTGGAGAGGGGCAGTCCTTGTAGAACGCTAGAATGTTCTCATTTTGGGATTCAGTCGGATTATTAAGAGCTATGATGCATGTTATTTTTTAAGATTTTTGTTTGAGGAAAGAATTTTCTTCGCACCTTGTATAATCCCTTTTCATTTGACGGGAGAATTCAATGAAATTATGGCACAATCGCACACCTACAGAAGGGTGTAAAAGCTTTAAACTTAATCAGAAGCCTGCACTGACAGCTCCGCTACGCATCATAATAACCAGAAGCTACAATGAGCGTGCCATTAATGCACTGCACTGTTTAAATTGCTTGCCTTTTCCATCAAAACAGCAAGTGCAGTAGCCGCGCCCTCCATTTGTCAAAGGATCGGTGCTAATGCCATCTTTCCTCTTTTTCTATTACTGGAAAGGAAGATATGTAGCAAAGTATTCAAGAACCGCATGAATGTTGCGCTTTAGAAACAGCATCAAGGTAATTTTGAAAAACAAAAACACCTTGCTGCTTGTGCAGCAGACAAATATTGACCAGTTTTTGTAAAACACATTATTCTGAATGCAGAAGTTGCATAAATGTTTCGACATTTACATAGAAGCAATAATTTGCTTTGTGTTTATTCAAATGTTCGTCGATATGTGAATGGTTTTCGCTCTCATGTTTTTTGCCGCTTTTGAGACAACCTTCTATAGTACTTGTAAAAATTAGATTTACATTGCCATTGTGATCTGAAAATTTCACAAATTCCCAAAAGTTTAAGAGGAAAGTGTAACAGGGTTATCACTCATGCGGGAGTTTTCCGTGCTTTTCAGTGATGTGATCACATATTTGAGCAATATCGAAAGAATAGTTGTTACGGTTCACCAAGAATAAGTTAAGAAAAAAGCTTTATAATAAAGTGCAAATTTTTGTATTCGGAACCAGCAACTCTGATTAGCTTAGCACCATGAATGATGGAAATCCCATCACTTATTTGTCGCACTTCCTTCTTCCTGGACTTCGTGCAAAACGATGACGTGGCACTTAATGTGCTCTGCGGCGTCGAGAAGAGCGTAGAGGTCCGCATTTGTAAAGGCTATTTTGGTGTTGTAAATGCAAAACCCCATAAAAGTGGCGCCCTGAGGACTGTGACATTGTTGTTGTTACTGTCCGCCGTAAGTGAATTCCGATGTGCAGGGTTTCTTTTGTTTTTTCCTACTGAACAAGTCTAATAGCTTTTCCTTAAAAGCAGATTTACTGAGTTTTAAATCTGACCCGATCGGCTAAGCTATGAATTAAGTTAGAATCCTAAATTCCGAATTTCACAGCTTTGGAGACCTTCTCAGAGCATACACTCGCATGTACACGGGTGGCCGAAAAGTATAGCCGTCGTATTTTTACGATTAATAATTTTTCATTAAAAACAACAATCTGTAAAGTTATTTTTGCAAGCCAAAAACACATATTAGAGCCGCATGCATTAACAATTCCGCTGGGGAGGGGATCGCGGCTACATACCTGAAGCTCCAGATGTCTGGCTGTTTACTTTCAGTAAGTATTCTCACCATCCTCCACTATGAACATATTGAACAGAAGCGAGAAGCTATACAAGCCGCACTTTCCAACTTTTTGCAGGATTCCCTGGAGGACAACCGTCTACTCTTTAAAGTCATTTTTCTTCCTTCAAAGTTAATGAAAACATTCCAAAGTTGTATTGCTTATCACACCCAATAGTGCTAAGCATGTTGCTGATAAGAACAAGTGATGTTTTGCATTCATGAAATTTACGATAAACCACAAGTCGAAAGTTGGGGTTCATCGAAAATTTCGATATTTCACATGTGTTCTCATCAGCAATATGCTAAGCACTGTTGGGTTAGATAATCAGTGCAACTTCGAAATGTTTTCATTAAGTTTGAAGAAGGAAAAATGACTTTAAAGAGCGAACGATCCTTCCCCGGGGATCATCAGGGGATCATACAAAGAGCTGAAAAATGCGGCTTGTACAGCTTCTCGCTTCTGTTCGATATGTTTGTGGTGAAGGATAGTAGGAATACTTACGGATAGTATACAGCGTGAAATATAGATATCTGGAGCTGTAGGATGTAAAGCTTTTAATTTAAGCTGCGATTACCTCCCTAGCGGGGAAGTTAATGCAGCGGCCCTTATTGTGTTACTCCTGCAAGATCGGGTTCCTGTACAAGCTACAGATTTTAACAGGTTATCTTGAAATTGATGCTTGAAAAATGAAGAATGTACCACGATTCCGTGAAATATCCTATAACTAATAGAACAGGCTCTAGGATATGAGGTTTTGTAGAGCAAAACCTGGGAATAGCAAATGCCGTAACAGCAAAATATTCTCCTTCCCAAAATAAAACACGGTGCCAGTATGGTGTTGATTAAACGGGCTTTTGCGAACAAGCAGATTCTAAGTCCCATTTGCATCAGAAGACTCAAACTCAAAGGCATATTTGCCCCATGGTGGAATATTTCAGGAAAATATATATTACATGATGTAACGCTCAAAACTTATTGGCACCCTTACATTGCACCCCCCCCCACGTTGAGAAGGCCAACCATTGTGAAGGAGCAGCTGGTATATGCATTTCTTGAACTCGTGTGACCGCCTCTTACATTATTGTTTTCTTTAAAAGCGTTTGGCTTTGCAAGAAATAATTTTAATTGCACTGTCCATCAGCGCTGTTCTGCTCATGATTAGAACGATCCATCCGTGTTTAGCTTTCGTCACGTATTTAGCTGAATCACAAAAAAAACATTTTTCTCTATTCGTGCTTTATGGGAAGGATCAGCTGGTATATGCATCTCTTGAACTGGTGTGACCGCCTCTTACAAGGGAACGATCCCAACCTAAAGGTACCGTTCACCCAGATTTTCGACTTCCACGTTTTTGTCGTTTCAGGGCCTTCCCATGTCCCTGATTTCGAATATGAAGTCGAGAATTCGCGAAAACCCCGGCAATCCCCGTTGCGGAGATCCCACAGGCCGTTTCCGGAACGGTGATTGGTTGGGCGCGCAAAATGGGCGGGATGGGGGTCCTCTGCATCATCGCTATTCCGAAGCGGTTTTCTCGCTTCCGAAGAGCCATTTTGAGCCACAACTTGGGCACTGGATTGATCGGGGGTCCTACTATTACATGCTGTCAAAAGCTCAACACCCTCAAATTAGGGTGGACAATGCCTTTAAAGTGGCAAATTAGAATGATCCACATATTATCAGATGTGTCTTGATGAGCTGATTCCAAATATATCATCTATATCTGCGATGCCGATCCGATCTCTAGAAAAAGTTGTGAGCGATTAAAAATGTAAAAGTCATTGAGATTTCAATGCATAATGTGCTTAAAAACCAACTTGGGAATTTATGACTAGCATGACATTGAGTGTACTGGTTTCAT